TGAGGTTTGAATCCAATAATGAAGTCTGAAAAGAATCTTTCTTCATTATCCTCTGGCAGTGTTTCTGCATTTGGAAATGGTGCATCCAGACCAACAGACTCTGCCATGTCATTGAGGTAAGCCAACTCTGAATGGTTCCAGTAAGGAACAAACTTCTCCCATCCAGCTGGAATTAACTTCCTTTCTGCCTCGCTGACTCTTGACAGGAAGGCTCTATTGTGTCTAATCTTGAGGATGTATCTTGCAGTTCCAGACAAGTTGAGTGCATCAGCAATGCTCCTCCTCATTCCACCATTACCAAAGTGGGCAAACTTTTCATGGAAAGCCTCTAACTTTGACTTTCCTCTCCTTGATAGGTACTTCTGGAAGCTTGGTCTTTTGAGTTTGGGAGATGGTTTTTGATTGTGGTCATACATTTGGTGGGTCGGCTCCTTTGGTAGTGGATCAGCCAATTGAATGGCTTTCTCAATGCAGTTGTCTCCTGCTGGCTTGGTGTCTGGAGTGAACAAGGTAAATTTCTTGACAGGATCCAGTCTTCCTTGGCCAGGTTGGCTGCCCTCACTGGATGTCACCTTGTACCTGCAGAACCACTGTTGAATCTTCTGCCTCATTGTTTCTGGTTGTCTCATCCTCTTCCTTAGGTACTTGGAGTATCTGTTACTGAAGACCCTTGATGATTGCAGGTCTGAGATCTCCACCATGGAATAGTGTTTGCCATCAGCTGATAGGAGACCATGTTTCAGAGCATAGAGAACCTTCTCAAAGTCTTCTGGTAAGTACTCATAGAGGGAATCCAAGAGAGCATTCAAAGCTTCGAAGTAGTCAATGTGACCCTTCCTCAAAGTTGACAGAATCCTTTTCTCATAATGGAACAGGCCAAGTCTTCCCTCGATACCTGGAAAGAGCAGCTCCCAATAGTCATCCTTGTGGGGCCAGGTGTCGCTGTACATGGCAGCTGGATTGAAGTTGCTCCTCCTTGCTAGCTGCATGGCAGCATGGGAGAAGTGGATGGTCTTTGTTGTGGGAACAAGGACTGCAGAAGCTATCTCTCCAGTCTCACTGGCAGCATCCCAAACAGCCACTGCTCCAACCTCTCTCTTCATGTAGTTCTTGACTGGCTGGAAAGTGTGGTCCTGACAGAATGTGTTGACGAGCAAGTGACTGACTGGATCTCTCTGGTGTGCCTCGTGTTGTCACTGATCCTCCAAGGATTCCTGTTTGAAGCACAAGCAGCATCATACATGTCACGGATGGTGTCACCAAGAGGCGGAAACTGTCTGATGTAAGTTCCATCATTTGGAAGGAATGGTGGAGGATCCCTCTAACTTCCTTGCCAATATGAAAAGTATGACATCATGGCTCTCAGATACTCTCTGTTGATTGCATTGTAGAGTAGCCGACTGCAGAGGTCACAATTACCATATGTAACCATTATAGACGCAAACACTTCAGTTGCTGTTCTGTCTACGTGATAGTCCTTCTTAGCAAATGCATACTTTGATTCCACTGGATACAGCAAGGAAACATGCTCTTGGATTGACACCAGTACTTCAGATTGTTTGGCATCAAATCTTCTCTTGCAGCAGCTGCAGAACATGGACATGACCATGCAACCAAGATGGAGGTCAGCAAATGCCAAAAATGGATGGGAAAACAGAGTTCTTGTTCCTTGGACCAGTGGCTTTCTTTCATTGTCGAGGTTTGCCAGAGCATCTTCCATCAGGACAAGGTACAGCAATGCCACATCGATCCCAGTCCACTAGGAGGAGTTTCTGACCAACAATAGAGTGATAGTGGGGAGACTCGAATTGGTCCTTTGTGGGTGGTACTGTCATGGTGAGTCCTTCGAAGTTTTGATTGAAAAGCTCCTTGTTCTTGGATCTGGTGATCGACTCAGACACTGCTTCTGCCATAGCTATGATTGCCAGGGGAGCTATTTTGGTCTTGTGCTTCTCCACAAGGGTGGATCCTCTTACACGAGCGGTGACTTTCTCGCAGACACAGCTGGGAGTAGCTCATGGCCTTGGTACTTTGTGTGCTTGCTTGGCTGTGGGCTCTTTTGGTGTATCTTGTTCTGGAGCAAAAGCAAAGGTCTTCTCCATTTTCTCTTGGGATGCTCTCCAGCTTCCTTCTCATTAGTGGAAGGGAGTAGCACTGCATTGCCTTGTCGTCTCCTGCTTTCTTTGATTGTCTCCATTGTCAGCGCATTCAAAGCGTCCTTGCCCTTTCTTGTTACTGTATTCTTATTACAGAGAATGAGTGTGATCTCTTTGGGATTCTGAGACCGCTAAGTTTGGTCCTTACAGATGACACATCTTGAGTGGATCAAAGATTCTGCTACCCCTCCTTCCATGCTGTTTGCGGCTCCTTCTTCTCTGCTCTCCTTTGATGATCTTTGGTGTTGTGCTTGGCGATGTTGAGAATGCTCTCTTCTGTTGCGATTTCTATTCTGGCTTTGGCAACCCATTCCTGTGGCTGTTGTACCTGTGGCCAGGCGCCATGTGAGTTCGCGTAGCTGCTGTTTGCTGCTGCTGTTTCCTGCTGTTATCGTGCTCATGTTTGGCTGGAGATAATATGACTGATCGAGTTTGAGTCTTGCAGCGGCAGCTTGTCATTGTCGATCGAACGAGGAATTCTTCTTCCTCTCCGAAAACAACAACGAATTTCGAACTAGAGTAGCACATTTGCTCCCTGTAATCTCTCATACAATGGTACGCTTAAGCTATATTTGAATCTTTTGCGACATACTTTCCTGACTGTATTAGCTTGACTTAGCCAAATCATAATCACCTGCCTGTTCACCCCTTTATCGGACATCCTTGCTACGCGGTACATGGATGATAGCACCTCTACGGATAATCTTTGTTCTTATTTGAGCTTTTATTTGTAGCTAGTAAACCAAAGTGCTCCTCGAGGAGTACCGGTACTTATCACTATGACTTTCGTGCTCTGCAGCTGACGCGATTCCTATTGGAAGTAGAAAAGAACCGCTTTGAAAAGAACCGCGGTAAAATAACACGCGGAAAAGAACCGCGGAAATGAATCAAGTAACCCACAAAAGGTAGGCGGGCCCAGTGGGGCAACGTCTTAACTTAGCCTAGTTCAACAGCGTACTATTTCAGTACTTCCTGCTCGTTTACCTGCACATTTCCCGTAGCGAAGTTTGCCAGCCAACGTGCTGTGCAGCAACTTGAACGATTTCTTCAGGGCGTGGTACTCACACTTTTAGCATGTGAGTATGGGTACTGAGCTAGTACTCAACAATATCCAAAGTCAAGTGAGTATGGGTACTGGGTAATACTCACAATTCCCAGGGTCAAGTGAGTACGGGTATCATGTGAGTACAGGTACTTTGTGGGTACTATAGAGTACTCACTGAGTACATCATAAATCAATTACTTAGGAAATTATCTAGGTTTTTCTAGTTCTGGGCTGGGGGCTCATCAATCTTGTTGTAAAGGTCCACCATGGCATCACTATACCACTGTCATAAACCTACCTCTTCACATCTGCTGGCAGTTAGCTTGAGGAGTTCCTTGGTCCTATTCTTAGTCCATTCCTTTCTTGCATCATTGATGCATTTTTGTAGTTCTGGATGAATCACTGTTCTTGTAGCAAATAAGGCGCATTTGGAATGTTATGTCAACCTTCTGTCCATTTGCTGAGTTTTACCATCAAACCATGTTACAAGAACTAAAAACTCTTTCTTGGAAGCCACAAAACTCACCGAGTACTCACGATACTAACTGGTACTCACTTCGAAGTACTCACCGAATACTCACCGAAGCTCAAAAAAAAAAAGTACTCAAAATCCGGAGTCATGTGAGTACGGGTACTGAGTAATACTCACATTTTCTGAGGTCATGTGAGTATGGGTACTGAGTATACTCAGTACTCAGTACCCGTACTCACATCGAGTACATGCAGCGTGTATTTCATGTGAGTCCCACACCCTGGATTTCTTTCCTTGCAAGTATTCTGGTCATAAGTCAAAAAAGCGTTCAGTCAAAACACGCCGTTCCCACACAACAAACACACGGCACACCAAAACTCACACACGGCACTAGCAATACAGGGAACAGCCAAGTGACAATGGTGGAGTTCAGAGGACAAGGCGGATCCTGTACCGGTATGCCCATGGGCAACAATCAGGCAGTCCCATTAGCAAAACTCCTTTGTGAGGCCTATTTGCCTCCTCCAGCCTCAGTTGCAGCAGGCAACAATAACAATGAACCTGCTTTTGGAGGAAGAGCTCCCCAAGGAATGCAGCACAATTTCATGCTTTCCCTCCGAAATACTCTTCATGATGTATTGAATGCGCAAATTGAAGGAGACGAGGAAGCTGATGACACGTTTCTTGAGACGACTGGTACCGCCAATGAGAGGAATCCTGCTGCTCTTGCTGACGTCTCTGATGGTGGTGACCAGACTGCCTCCCAGCTCAACAGCACTGAAGGTGCAGCCAATATGTAATCATCCTCACTGTGGTGGAAGCACCATGTCCAGCCCAAGTACAAACCCATCTTTGATTTGGCGGGGGGTTGGATTGGTCCACCACCATCCATGAAGTAGACGAGCACTGGGAAGACCGTGAAGCATTGACACCACTAGCTGGTTCCATACTACGTAGAAACAACTATACATCATAATCTAATACCATCAAGTACATGCACTTGGACTTTGGAGAGGCAGTCTTTCTCTTGGCTATGGTATGGTCGTACTGCTCCAAGTAGATACTGTACATAGCGTCGCTGAGCAAACGCCGGGGGAACCGCTGGTGCTACCGGTACCGTACCATGGCTAGCCAACTGAGCGTACTGTCCGTACTAGCTATGTGCTGTACCGGTAGCTAACAACGACATCAGTCCGTTATTACGTGTTCGTTCGCGGTTCAGCGCCTACCGGTAGTCTAGGTACTTGGTAGCTAGCGGACAGAAAAGGAGACGTCACAAAGATAGAGTGGAATCTAGTTTGCGATAAGCATCTGTTTTCTCTCCTTGCAGCAGCGCTTGAGATCTCCTTGATCAGAATACAGACGGCGAGTCAGCGTTTCATCGAGACACCACATGATCTCAAGAGATCCAATATCCCTCGGATGCTCCCATCACCGCCGCTCTGAAAGCCGCCATTCAAGCGGGGGCTCTGTACTCTGTACCGGTACCCCAAGGCTGTCATGCTACACGGAATTATTCACTCCTTTCCTACGGAGTCAAGCTAGAAACAGTCATGCAACAGCTAGTTGATTGTCACATTTCCCGACATGCAAGCGTCACTTTCGCGTCTACACAAAATCAATGCCTTCAAATCGTTAGTCAACTACTAGCTAGCTAGTACATGCACCTTACCGCTGGCGAGACTGGTCACTAAATGAATGTTCCAACAGCAAGAGATACCCATGATATGTATACTATAACCCCCTGGGGTTTTCCACCTCTTGGAATATACACAGAAGGGACAACTCCATTGCGGCAGTGACCCCTGGTATGGCTACGGTACCGAGACAAGGGATTGGTTGTCAAAGGAACAAGAAATCCATGTCGATGCTATGGAAGAATTCAAGGAAGAAGAGGAGGACGCCGGGGAGAGCACTCCTTCAACCGTGTCGGCAGTCTTGGAGTCGTTGGGTAGACTATTACCCATGTGCACAAAACGTTGGAGGAACAATTCATTTTGACCCTGGAGGAATTCTATGATCTGTCTGTCTCTGGCTGGACCATTTAAAGGAATTGGCCAACCACTCCGTCATTGCTGCGATTCCGCAGCGACTGCTTGTGAAACAAGGAACTACACTTGCTGCTCAATATGGACCCAAGATGGTCAATATGGACCCATGATTTGGGAAATGGCAGCACAGGCAATGTAATTCAATCAACCGATCGAATGGAATCGAATCTATGGACAAAAACGAAATGACGATTATACCGGTACCTGGGCACATGCAACAACCAACATCCTGTGACAATGACATGCTGCCATGATTCCTGCCGTCCCGGTACATGCACGATACCGGTACCAGGTACAGGTTTGTCCTGCAAATAAATGTTCTCTCCGTTACGCAACGTTGCTTTCTTCACACTAGGGTATTGCTAGCCAGGTTCACGACTGCTTTTGCAAAGCCTGTGAAGCTGTATTGGCAACACCCCATCTTGGTCGGATCTGCGGGGAACGTCCCGCGGCCTGCACCTGGCATTGCCAATGCATGGCCTGGCCTCGTCACTCATCTACAGTTGCCGCCTTCGAACACTGTTGATGAACCAATTTGACCACCATTGGCGTTTGACTGGAGAAAACATCGAGAAGTCATCGGCCACTAAGTTGCTTTCTAGCAAGCTAGCTACGATCTAGCTAGCCAGCTAGCGCTTGACTGAACTGGCAGCCGAAAGGGAGATGCAGACTGCAGCGAGTTCACTTGTCCAGAAGTTGGGGCAACATTCGTAACAATCCAACAGCAGCAACAACAACACGATCAATCGAGAGCAACCATGAGCTTGCTAACGGCACTTCAACGAGCACTTCTGGTGATATCTTCCATCCTTTTTGTTCAAACTACATGTGCTTCTGCAACAACATCTGAAGGTTCCTTCAGCCAATTGGCGTTCTATGATGAGCTACGTTTCGAGGAGGGAGCAACGGTAACTCGCCAAGGCAACCTCGATGTCGTCGATGATGTCAGTATTTGCCACTTGGCCACACTCTTGCCCCTCAGTTCCGTCGAGGGTGATCACAACGACACTGGCAGCACCAGGACACCCTTTACAACCTTGGGGTCCTTCCGGGGCGCTGCCGCCATGATGCTGGCCATGTCACACTTGAACAGCGGCAATGGCTCCATCATCCCCGAATTGGCGCAAACGCCTCAAACCTGTCCTCAGCTACGTTTTACCATGGAGCTTCTCGACAGTCAACTCGACGAACGCAAGGCCATTGATCACGTCATTGGCATGGTACAACGCAATGATCCAAAAGATCAGCCGCTACCCTGCGCCTTTGTTGGCAGCTATCGAAGTGCCGTGTCCATGCCGACCAGCATCATTACGGGGCTTCAGGGATACCCGCAGTGGGCCGCCATGTCTACCAGCTCTGCACTGGACAATCCAGACCAATTCCCTTTGGCTGGTCGTTTGAATCCCTCCGATGACGGGACCGCCGTCGCGGCAATCTTGTTCTTTCAATCCATCCAAGTCCAACACTTGGCCGTCTTGCACACCAGCGACGCCTATGGCAATGCTTATGTCAATGGTTTGATTCAAGCGGCAGCCATTCATGCCCCTTCTATGCAAATTCTATCCGTCGACTTGCCCTTTCACGCCTCGGAAGAAATCATTCAGCGACGCGTCGCAAAGTTAAAGGCCACGGGATTTCGCTACTTTTTTGGAATCATTTTTGATGCCGTGCATTACGATCCACTCATGTCCGAGGCTGTGCGACAGGGCATTGCCGGAACGGGTGAACATCAGTGGATCTTTTCCGATGGAGTCGGTGTGGGACGCATGATTGGAGCCAAACACAAACCCGGGTCTCCTCTGCTGGCCGCATCGCGTGGCACCGGAATGATTACAGCCGTGGGTGGATTATTAAAGAATGCGGTGGAGGAGGATCATCCATCGCAGCAGCAGCCAACAAGTCCCTATGATCGACTGGCCCTTGCCTTGCGAGATATTCAAAACAATCCCTACGATTTGTCTTACCTGAGCTTCAAGCTCCCGCACTATCCCGAACATCCCGACTATGATGCTTCCATTCTCTTTGCAGACCCTGAATTCTTCCATGAGCCCGGTCTGTTGGCGCCATTTCTTTACGATACCGTTGCAGCCATTGGTTTGGCAGCCTGTCAGGAAGTCGCTTCCGGAATTACGCTGGCAGGAGACAAACACTACCAACGAACCTTGCAGACCAACTTTGACGGAGCCACTGGTCGGGTTGTCCTTAATCCTGAAACAGGAACTAGAGAAGCCACATCGGCCTTGTTCTCGTTGACCAACTTTGTGCAGGATGACACAAACAATATGGATCCAGACGGTAACGTTGGCATTCGCGCCGTTGTGGCCAATGTCTTTCAGAACGGGAATTGGACCACCTTGGAACCTTACATCTTTAATGATGGCTCTACAGTGCCAACCCTGGATTTGCCTCCTAGCAAAGTGGATGCTAATTACATTCACACCGCGGCGCGGGCGCTCATCCTGTTCTTTGGGTGTTCCATCATGATATTGAGCATGGCCTTTGCCACGTGGACCAAACTGCATTCCAGCGATCGAGTCGTCAGGTAAGTAGACGAGATTGAATGTGTCACCATTCATAATGATGGCAGGATCCGGCTCACAGATCTCGTTTTCCTGCATTTCACAGGGCTTCGCAGCCAGTGTTCCTGTTTATCATTTGCATTGGTACATTCTTCATGGGTGTTTCGGTGTTGCTCCTAAGCTTCGATGACGCCGTCTTGAGGTCAATTGGATGCCAAGCGGCATGCATTGGGTTTCCATGGGCACTTTGTTTGGGCTTTGCTCTTACCGCCTCAGCTCTCTTTACCAAGACACATCGCATCAATCTCATTGTCAACCAACGACAGTTTCGAAGAGTTGCCGTGACTGCGCTGGATGTCATGAAACCCATGTTTTGTCTCGTGGGCATCAATGCCCTCACATTGATCTTGTGGAATGCTCTCAACCCGGCGGAATGGGTCCGTGAAACCACCGACTATGATGCCTTTGGCCGGCCGTCACATTCCATTGCATATTGCTCTTACGAGGGGGCCATCCCTTACATCATCACGCTGGCAATCACCAACGTTGGGGCCATCTTTTATGCGTGCTACGAAGCCTATGTCGCCAGAGATGTCTCCACGGAATACGCCGAGTCCGAGTACATTTTCAAATCCATGGCAACCGTGCTCGTGGTTTGCTTTATCGGAATCCCCATGGCATTCGTGACAGAGGAGAGCACCACAGTCCACCGATGTACCCTTGCTGCCGTCATTTCGGCGTGTTCGCTAAGCTTCCAACTTTATATTTTTGTTCCCAAGATCAAGTTTAATCGCCAAGCGATTCGAGATGTACATGGCAACAGCAACAACACCGCATCTAGGCGCCAGTCTGGAGTCTTCCGCGTTTCGAGCACGAGATCGTTGTCATCCGAGTCTACAGGCGAAGAGTTTGGAGTACGAGTCTTCAATCGGAAACATAGAGAAACGGATCTCGTGTCCGAAGTCCACAAATTGAAGAAGCAAAACATGAAACTGCAAATGGAAATCAACACGCTCAAGGCAGGCCGTGATGAGAGCAGCTTGGAGCTAACCCGACAAAACAGCTCGAAAAGTGTCACGTTTGATGAGTCGTCCATGATCGAAACCACCAGCTGCAGCATTGGCCATCGCAGCTTGAGGTCGATTGCTGTCTCGGAGGCTGAGAGCATCATTACGATTGACCCATTACACCCAGACGATGAAAGCAATTTGGACGTGGCTCCGTTTTGAGGTTCTCTGGTTGTTGCAATCTCAGGCATACATTAGAACATACATGTCCGGGACGCTGAGGGTGCTGCTGCTGGAAGACTGAAGTTCCTCCTTTAAGATTACCGCAGGTCTTCGGTACCAGTACGAACACAAAGTGCGACATGCAAGAAGGAGGCAGTCCGCAGCACGTTGAGTCGTCAAGGGGATTGTGATGCTGTCCTTAAGCCCAACCTAATGCTCTCAAGTTGCCCCCAACTTACACTAGGGCTAACCTAGTTTCCAAGTTGACAACTGTATTCTGGAACACGAAAGTGCGTTCTCCACGAGTTTGCTTGGAGACCGCTTGAGACTCAGCATCTCTCCGTATACCCAGGGGAAGCCGATGTTGTGCTGTACTGGTCGAAACGTAACATCCAAAGGACTGTGTAGGTTGATTCTCCGATCCTGAAACATCTCTCCGTACCACAGGGATGCCAATTCTGTCCCGGCCGAAACGTAGCATCGAAAGGACGTCAGTCTCCAATGCTGGTTGAGGGTGACGTCCTTGACACCGAATATACTAGCTAGCTACAGCAATCTGATAGTATCCTGCATTTTCTACTCGCAATCTGGAACGTGGCCTGGGGATGAAAGGTCGTTGCTAGCCAGCTATCGATCAAAGCTGTATGCGATGACTGAGGTTCTGGCAGATTTGTCATCAGCACAGAGCAAACATTTTGACGTTGGTAGTCGTGAGGAAAGATGGAGATTTCGGGAGCCAGACCAGGACGACCGTATTACACAATGGTCGATGGACCGATTCGGTCAACGAACAAGGCCGGGATCTAAGAGGCTGCTGGTCAGGGAAACTTGCAATGTGTCGGTGAAAACGACCGACAGAGCAATCCAACTTTACCCAGCCTGGAACCACCGCAAAATTTACTCACAAATTGCTCAATCATACTGAACCATCGTTCGTCGTACCGGTACGTCACGAGCCTAGCTAGCTAGGAAGTCTGAAATAGACAATGAACGAACACGCAAAGCAATGATTGGAATATTAGAAGTACTAGTACGGAAACGCTTGTCCAGCGTAGAGTTTGAGAGAGTTTGAGAGGACGAGCCGATCGTTCAGCGCCACGACGACACCTCAACTCGAGAACTGTCAGAGCCGCCAATTGGAAGCCGCAGAAGGTTAGTAAGACTTGTGTGGCAATCAACAGGGCGTACCGGCGAGTCACATCCACAGGATTCCAAGAAGCGAACCACGGGCTCCCCAAAGGGAGCGGCTGCACGAGGCAGCACCAGAAGACGTGAAAAGACTGTTTGGGTGCCAGGTCCCAGCGCACTACCGGCAAGTCAAATACCACGAGACCCCCAAAGGAGTGGCTCCAAGGAGTACAGGGAATGGCACTTGGTGAGCGTCTGTGAGAGAAGACTGTGAACTGACCTTTGCTGTTGCTGGATTGTCGATGTCCTACGAAAAACGAGACAACGGTTTGAGGCGCCACCGTTTACGAATTGAAGCGACTATTGAAACAAAGACAAGAAGAACCAACGGTACCTTGCACGAGGACGAACCAGCAACCAACGGTGAGCGACTGTCACTCTAGTAGCAGCAAGACAAAGAGATGCGTGAGAACAACGGCGACTCCGCCAAACAGAAGAGCTGACCGTTACCTTGTACGAGTACGCTCCATCTCCACTTGAACCACCGCAAGACGACACCTTTCCCAGCAGACCAACGTTCAGCGAAGCCGATGAGGACCAGCCCCGGAAGACTGACCCCAGCAGCTTCTCAAGGTTCAAACGAACTCTGAACTACTACGGTAATGACAGCACTGATAAAGGTGTCATCGTCATGCAATTGATGAGAGGATGAGAATGAAATGAAGAATGAGCAACGGGCCCTTTTTCGAGCAACCACAGCGTTCGTTCGGGAGGTTTTCGGGAAACGGCAAAATCAAACTTGAAACGTTTCAAAATGTGACGTGGGTTCAGCGAGTGTGCCGGGCGTGGATGTGCGTTAAGAGCATTAAGGTCAGAGTTAAACATCAGAGGAGGATTTATTATCGAAGCCGCATTTGTCGAGGAGAGTGCGTGGGAAAGACAGTCATCAGACTGTGCCATTGCATCTGATCCCAAGCCATCCATGCATTGGACTAGAGATAGAATCTGACAGCACGAGATAGCAAGAAAGAATAGTACACTGTACATGCAGAATGCTGAGACGAAAAGCAGGCAAGGATCTGGCAGAGACGGACACGAACTCCCAGGTGTCCATTCCTCTGGGTGGTGCTACCGTTGGTACCGTTGGTACTAGCAGTGGTATCTATAGTAGTGGAGATGGCGGAACCGCGACACAAGCCCGCCATCGTCGAAAACGAAAGAGCCACGGATGGATGAAATCTTGTTGGGTACGGTTATCAGGGATCATACCAGGATCTACCAGTAGCAGGTCTTCCCGCAGAAAGATTGAGTCTGGGTTGGCAGCCAACCATTTGCAGATGCACACAAATTCCAGGGCAAAGGACAAGTGCACTGGTTGGATTGCAATTGTGTTTCTACTAGTGGTCTTGCTAGGAGCATTCCACTACTATACAGGTACCCTGGAAATTGCCAAACACAAGTACTTAGTCCTACCATCCAACACCAACCTACCAGAAAGCTTGATTTCTGAAGTACTAGAATCAGAGTTGCGATTATCCATAGAAGACCATGAGGCACTCTCACTATTGATACTGATGCATGCAGATTCCACGACGACAATAAGACGAGGAATCCACTATCCCAGAGAACTGGGCCATAAACAGCAAAGGGAGATGCAGTATGTGGACTTTGGAAACATCCACTTGAGACTCCTCCCCAATGATGAGCAAAAGAGACAAATATACAGACTCATTCAAGACTTGCAGGGAGATCCAAGGAGTCTCAATGAGGCCAGAGACGATGACTATGATGGATACTATGCATTTGATGATGGTCCGTTCGTTGTTGCATGGATGGATGGCCGCCTTCTCTCTTCTGTCTTTTACACTCAAGCCATCTGCTCATCACCCCTTTGTTGCTTGGTCTCTTTATTATAGACATTGAGAAGAATCCTTACAGTGACTACGATGACTACACTCCTTCCATGGAAGGACGATGTCGTAGGGTGGCCTGGCACAGGTACAATCTTCCGAATTGCAATGCCATGCATGAACTGGACCTGGTCACAAATACACCAAGATTTGTGGGGTAAGCTACATTTTTAGCTACGTCCATTGGTGGCATCTTAGTGAGCGCTCACCATCTCTTTATTCTTTGCTCCTGCTGGGTTATTGCATTCCAATCCAGGGATGGCGCCTATCGTGAAGTCTTTGTCACGGAACAGCCTTACATGGCAGCCCAAGAACAAATGATATTCAAGGAAATACGCTGGGAGTAAGTTTCCTTCTAGCTACTGCAACAACCAGATTTCTTCCTTGAAGTTTCTTCCCTGAACTCTTCCAATTGCTGCTGGCTCTTCATTATCATAGCTTGGATCACGGCGTGGATAGCTTTGAATATGTTCGGATGGATGCCTTTGTCACGGAACGACTCACTTCCAACCAACACATTGTCGACATTTTTGGATTTTGTGGGCTATCCATGCTCACCGAGTACTTTCCGTTTGGTGATATTGAAAAGGATGTGGTGGGCTTTCAGGATCACGACAAGAACTTTAATCCATTGAACGACAAAGTACTCAAGCCACTCAACAACTATACCGCAGCGGAGAAACTACAATTAGCATTGAACATGGCGGAACCAGTGGCGGCTCTTCACAACTTCAAGGACGGAGTCATTGTGCACGATGATATACAGTTGTGTCAGTATCTATGGACAGAAGAAGAGGGAATTGGGGTCAAACTCAATGACTTTAATCGGGCTGGTACGTACCAAGTCGACCTTGGTTGGTATGCTTTTCGAGAGAGCAGATGTCTTTTGGCGTGGCGACCTTGATTGTCTCAATGTCATGATCTCTCGTTTGCACGCTCCATAGAAATCATGTTGTGGGATGAGCAGGCACAACAGTATTGCAAGTACAAGAATGGAAGGGGTCATGGTGATGTAAGCATATATCCCAACAAATTTCACTGTTTCAAGAGAGAAACAGCTCACTCCTTCTTCGTCCAACCAGTGGCGTGCTCCAGAAGAGTTCAAAGATCTCCCTCTAGATGAATTCATTGACGTATGGTCATTGGGTGAGTGCATGCAAACTGCATGCGCATTTTGGGTGGATACGATTGATTTCTTGGCTGATGCATCCTCACAATGCACCCCTTCTGCCAACCAACACTGAAATGAATGCATTGAAGGAAACAACTTCTACTCGCTGTTAACCGGTGTCTACCCCTATTTCAATGTCGAGAAAGACAAGGATATTCAGGTGAGCGCTGAACGAGAAATATGGTGTTTGCGTTGCGTTGATACTGCAACAGAGGCAGTGACGGGGCTAATCAACTAAGTTTTTGCCATGCCTTCCATCTTGCAGCAAATGGTAAAAGACGGCGAGAAGCCACTCATTGATCCACGATACGTAGACTCTTCATTTGCAGAACGGAAGCTGGTAGATGTGATACTTCGATGCTTTGAGTACGACCCAGAGTTGCGGGCAGACATCAACGAGATCAGGCGAATGCTCAAGGAAGCTATAGTTGAAAATGAACAAAGGGAGAAGGAAAAAGCCAAACGGATAGCAGAGGCTAAACGAAAAGAAAGGGAGGCCGCTTCGAAACAGGTAGAAGCTAATAGAGCTCGGCAGGCGGAGGAAGAAGCCCAAGATCAATCTGAGGCCGAACGTCTGCGAATCGAAGAAGAAGCACAGGAAAAGGCGGAATCGGAAAGGATTGAACAGGAGGCACTTCGGAGGGCTGATGAGCAAATAAGGCAACAAGAAGCGGAGAAACGCTCACCAGCCCAGCGGGATGAGCCTCAGGAATAAGCTGGGAAACAAGCCAAGGTTGATGGAAAGAACGAAGAGGACGGGGCTGTAGCCAAGGAACAACGAGGTAGCTGAACAACTTCGCGACGTCGCCCGGGAAGGAAATTAAGGAGGACTCCACGTGAACAATTAACTCAACCAACGGATTCCCAGCGCGCTAGTTTGCCGAGTGAGAGGTAAGTCACAGCCCTCCCGGGCCAAATCCCATCCTCGTCACTTTTCGTACATACAATACTGTGTTATGCAAGTTATCAAGCCATGTCGTCCTCCTATTGTCTCGCTGCGTGCCTCTGACGCTTGTGTTGTTGCTTGTCTGTGTTTTGTTCATTCGCCTCAGCCAAGTTTGCTGCTGGCCCGTGCCTGTATGTAGACTACAGCAAGAGCATACTGAGCGCCAAGAGGACACCACTGACCATGCTTGTTTGTGCAGCTGCCATAGCTCCTGAATTTCGCAAGTTGCTAACGTCCCGGTCTTCTTCGGCGTCGATGGTTCGTTCGACGGCTGCCACTTCAGTTCCGACGTCGGCAGCCATGCTACAGATTTCCGGCCCGGTCATGTTCAAGAACTCTGACGGATGATAACAGGTTTCATCCTTTTAATAAAATAGTGCAGGGGTGAGTGAGTGAAATCGAGTACAAGATAGTAGGCTTCTACTGCATGTCAAACTCACCTGAATGACCTGGCAGGCACTGGGAGCATAACATCCACCCGCAATCCAGGCACAGTCGATTCGGCTATTGAGACATGGTTCACATTCGGGGAATCCAGTGCAGGGATGATCATCCATTGCTGTTGCATTGTTGGCATCATGTGTCATCATGGCACCATCATCTTCAGGTACCATGTCACCACCATCCTCTTCGGGTACCACCGCCGGTTCCTCTGCAGTTTGAACGGGATCGACATCCGTGGGTGTTTCGGGTGCTGGCTCCGGTGCAATTTCTCCTCCCTGAATGGAAGCGCTGCCCCCAATGACAAATTCTACTTCACCGTCTTCCTCTTCCGGCTCAGGTTCTTCCTCTACAGGCTCCTCTGGCTCTGGCTCTTCCTCTACAGGCTCTTCCTCTACAGGTTCTTCCTCTACAGGTTCTTCCTCTGCCGGTTCCTCTGGCTCTTCCTCTGCCGGTTCCTCTGGCTCTTCCTCTACGGGCTCTTCCTCTTCAGGCTCTGGTTCCTCTGGCTCTTCCTCTACAGGCTCAGGTTCCTCTACCTCCTCTGGCTCTTCTACCTCCTCTGGCTCTTCTGCTGGCTCCTCTGGCTCTGACTGCGGTTCTGGTGTTGGACAAGCTGGGAAATCACAACTGGGTCCTTCTCGCACGACGGTACTTCCATCGGGACAAGTCAATATATCCAAGGGGCATGCGACGACCCCTTCACATTGTTCGGGACAATTTCCCGCCGAATCACATCCTCCCGCGCCACAATAAGTACCGTACCAAGCACAGGGTTGTCCTTCCAATTTTTCCGTAGTAGTGCAGGTACCACAATCCGTGGGTTCGGCTATTGGTGGGACAGAAAGGAATAATAGAAATGAAATGAAATTGTTAGGAAAAATGAATATTGCTTCCACATGCCATACGCTATTATTTTTGTAATACTCACCACAAATAATGGCATCCTGTTCGTCAATGGCTTTGCGGGTACAAATTTCAGACACATTGTATCCGACAAATGCCTCGGTCGTCCAGCAACTGGCATCGGCGGGAGTGTATTGACAATCACTGACACAGACATTGTCGACTCCAATGACACATCCGGCACTCAGGCACGCCTCGCAGTCAACAGGTCCTTGATTATTTTCGTATCCCGGACAGGACGCTTCCAACACAATTTCATTGGGCGTGGTTTGCGTATCGTAAATGGAACAGACTTCGACGCGGGTCGAATCGGGATAATTGGCCATGGCCCAACAGGCACCATCGTCCGGAGCACTGCGACAATTTAAAAGACAAGCGCCGGTTCCAATCATGGCACATCCGGCGGTGAGACAGTCGAAGCAATCGGCTGTTTCGCCTTCTCCCAAATTTTGGAATCCGTCGCAGTAGACCAAGGGCGGTAGATCGGGTGTGCCGGGTGCAGCTGGTCCGGGTGGCGTGGGAGTCGTTGGTTCTTCAGGTAGTACACTGCTGGTCTCGTCCATATCAGTGTCAGTGTCAGTATTTCCAGTACTTCCAGTATCGACAATTAGGTCTCCGGCAGCCCCGGCAATGGCACAAATATCGGGAGCTGTCAATCCAATGTAGTTGGCTGCACTGAAGCAACTCTTATCGGCCGCCACGGTGATACAGGAATCCACGCACGTAGATTCTTCGGTATATCCACAGCCGCTGGTGATGCAATCCAAACATCCGGTAGCTTCATCGCACACCAATTGGCCGTTGGCAAAACTTAAGTGGCTCAACAGAGCTGCAGTAAGAAGAAGAAAGGACCTCATGGTCGACACTCAGTCTAGTTAAATGGTAGTATACTAGTACTTGATCAGCCGATGAGCTCTGGCTAGGCTATAGTACCGGTAGAACAGAGCTGGCCGTTTCTTTTGACTGAAGGATAATCGATTTATTAGTTTTTGGCTACCGTTGTCTAATGATCTCCCAAGATGGATCTATACACTGGCCACTTTTGTGCAGCACAAGATAGATACCCTTTACTAACTACTGTAATTAATAAACTCTCATGGGGATGATGCCATGTTTCGTCCTATGAGAAAGCAACGATGATGCCGACAAATTTGGTCCGTGCGAGAGATCTTTTACAGACAACGAAAAATCCAGCTGAGGGATCTTTCGGCCATTCAACCAGAAAAATAAATTAGATTACGTCATTTTCCCACGCGCAGGCATACATCTGCAATTAACTCCCGCACCAAAACCAACAAACTCAAAGATCCATCTCTCTCATCTGTCAGAGGGGAGAACGCCCACCGCTACCGATACTCTAGAGTACCGGTATGGCATACTGCTGCCATACCATTACTTCTACTGACCGCCAAAGGAGTGTCTCAATGCTATACCGGTATAGCTACCAGTACCTATGCCGTCTCCGTACTTGTCTCTAAAAGATACCGTAACTGGCTCCTGAAAATCTCAATCAAAAGATTTGCCCCTTGCTTCTCTTCGCAGAGTCAGTACACGTGTACGTGTTGCTTCTGAATGAAGATGCATGAACCACCGCATAACGCAGAAGTGGCATTCACCCACCTAACTAAGCCAAAAGGTGCACCCGAGCATTGGCTCAGGTGGTACCTGGTATCGCCTACTTCTAGTATGTTATGTGTCCGTCACGACCGGTTTTAAATTTTGAAGTACTATCATTCCAAGCGCAGTGGATAGAAGTGGACATCCGAGATGAAAATTTCACCACAGTATAGGGCCAGCTTTAGAAAAGACCATGTCGCTAAAGTCGTCTTCCAGATCGCTCGATTGCCATGCACATGTACGGTATGTCATACGGTTCTACGGCAACTGTTACCTGAAAATCTCAAATCCAAAGATATGATTCGGTCGCCGAAAGCACAACAGCAAAAGTTCCATCACACAGTCATAATAATAATCTTGGAGCCAAAACCTTGTTCTGCTTGCATACCCTACGGTGCCGAGATCAGCGCACCTCAATATCCCACAACACCCGTGCCCACCACAATGTCCTCCTCTCACACGGATGACTTGGTGGCTTCATTGGTGCGCAAATTGGAGACATCTATTGACAACAACGCCACAGAGTTCTTGGTGAAAGAGTTGATGGCGGCACAAAAAGAGAATGCAGACCTAACAAAACTGCAGGCGGAAGCCAATCATCAACAGCAAATGGACACTTTGCGCATGCAGGTCGAAACGCTCCAGGCACAGGTGGAAGCCATCCACAACGATCAAACAACAGATCTCAAGAAACGAGAGGCTGATACAGAAAAGAAATCTTCATCCATGGTCGTGGGTCTCATTCAGTCTGGAAGACATGTTCATTGCGTCAAAGGGAGTGCTGTCACGGTCTGTATCCCCACATCATTTCACCGTCCCTATGGAGGCCAACTGCCACCCAAGGTTCAAGTTGCACTGGACCAGGTGGACCTGGAGAATAAATACCTCACAAAAGTAAAGGTAACAGCAGAGGACATTACCCAAACTGGCTTCAACTTGTCGTTGTCCTTGGAATGCCATACTGTGGTGCCTCCCTCGTTGCAGCTTCCTGTCTTGAATCCCCCAGAAGAACAACGCTTCTATTCTTCCGTTCACTGCAATCACAAAATCGGTACTGGGTGTGCCCGATCCATGCTGGATTCCCCACAAGGATGGCTTGCCGGGGTGAAGGATGGCAATCAATGGATGGTGATGGATGCTGGGATGGTCGTAGATGCCATTAACGGGATTGTGATAACCAATCGAAAAGACTGCTGGTTCAACCAAGTTGTAACAAAAGTTGAAGTCGATGTCTCCGACGACACGGGAGATTGGAAGAAAGCCATGGAGGCAACCGACACTAACATTACCGTTGAAAACAACATTTCGTGGCTGTTATTTGATCAACCTGTCCCTGCCCGCTTTGTCAGGATCCGTGTCTTGCAGTGGGAAGACCACATCTCCATGCGATGTGCCTTGATCCTGCAGGGAGCGGCATCCAAGACTAAGGATGTTGAGTATAGGGTAGTGAAAGATCCGTTCATCTATTCACGACGAAGCATCTCAGTTGGTGTAGGCTGGACTGCCTTTCCTGCAGTCGAATGAAGTGAGAAGGTGGATGTTGAAAGAAGCATGCACTTGGAGGACTTGCAAGGAGGATCCAAAGCGGATGACGACCGAATAATTCGTCAAGTGAGATGGAAAGGAAGAAAAGGCCAAGGCATGTATCAGTGACTTTTATTAGGTAGCGGTGGAATAGACAATTATAATGAGTACTCGTTGGCAATTGTCTTGTAGCGAAAGCACAGCTGTAGCCTTTGTGTGGATTGCCATTAATCGAAGACCAACCATCCATTCGGTCCCTCTGGTTGACAGCATCGTTGTTTCTAAAACAATCCAGGCATCCATTCAAAAACCAACGACGAAGGCGCCTGGCCATGACTCAACCTTTTGAGAGAAGGAAGATAGAGGGGAATATTGAATGACGCCAGGGTATGAATGCAAGGAGCACGAGTACGAGCGGGTTCCGGTACATGGTGCAGACAGGACTTGATGGATCGGCGTCTCCACGTTTCCCAAAACGTGGAATTCATCGTGGGCATACCATAGCAATACATCGTGATCGAGACGTGCAAAGCAGTATTCTGCTCGACCTTCCACACTGCAAACAAGCAAAAAGATTGAGCTACGATGCGTTCCGAGCCGCAGCTTCGTTCCACCAAGGAGTCTGTAAACCTGGCAAGAAGGCATGCTGCCGTCCTGGTGGCCCTCTTGATCGTAGTGATGGGTGTAATTGTGGCCTTTGCGCAAAAGACATTTCTGTTGGAAAAGCAGAACGCAGATCTGAAATCACTGGTCCAAGAGTTGTCAAAGCGCATGGACAAAGCAACATTCTCGACGGTGGAAATCTGGCAGCAGCAAATGACCCACAAGCTGGCAACGGAACATGAAAACTTCAAGAAACACCAGAAGGCTACAGACAAGCTCGCTACTAAAGCGGAACGGTTGGTGGAGGCGAATAGAGATCTCACAGTTGTCGTGGCCGATATTGGCAAACGAGTGAGCTCCTTGACCGGGCAGATGCATGGTGTGACTGAACGGGTGAATTCCTTTGCCGAACAACTGCGCCAATTGATGCGCCTTCTAGGATGGAACCTCTGGTAGGATTGCATTTCCTGCTTGTAATAACGAGGGCTGCCTTTAGTTTTGGTGCAATATACAGCATTGTACTCGTGATCAAACAGTTATGGTCTGGCTTATTGAAGTAGTATTAAAATCCCCATAAAAGCACCACTTGAGAAGAAGATGGTGACCCAGATTCCAGTGAAACTCGTACCGACAGCAGCACTGGACATGACTTCTGACGGTATTTGTTCCCTTTCCGTGTCAGTTTGGGCCTTCTTTGCGACGGCAACTTCATTTTCTTCGTCATCCATGGTAGTAGTAAAATTGTAATTGGATGAATTGCTGTTGTTTGTGGTAACGTCTTCTAGAGGCTCCAAATACCCCGGCCGTCCTTGTCCAATGACATTGCTCTGATTCTTGTCAAAACAAGGACAATCCAACGTGTATAGACCGGTTCCATAAATGGTGGTGACCGTCTCAATAGTACCACCTCCACAGGTTTCCGGATACATGTCTCTACATTCTTGTACACTATTGACGGGTCCATAACATCCCACGGAAAAAGGTGCCGCAGATGTAATGGAATAGTAGTATACGACTTGCCCATTGGAATCGGGCGTGACTCCAAATCGTCCTCCACAAGCATCCAAATCATCCGGTTCGACGCCCCCATCTACATGCTTCCCATAAATGCCATTGCCATCGCCGGCTGTGCCAATGCGCGTACTATGCAGCGTCACAGGATCGGCTGTGAAGAGACAACTCATGCGTTCGTGATAATGATAGGGCATGGCGTGGCCGCCACAGGCATCCAGTACTTGAATTTCCACTCCACTGTCGCGACAAATATAGTGCACCATGTGTTCGGCCAAATTCGTGTCAATGCCGCCGGGTACTTCCACGTCGCCTAAACAGGCCATGCGAGGATTGCCACTGCCAAAGCCCGCTTCCATGGGTCCGTAGATATTGACGCCCTCTTGATCGCCTCGAATGGGCAATTGACGCAACGCATGAGCCGCCAGATCCACGCATCCTACATTCCCACGCAATGGAGCCGCACGAGGCGTATCGGAACGATTGCCCGTAAACGGCGTTGTTAAGGAACATTGAATGCGAGGTCTACCACCTGGTCTTCCACCTCCTCCTCCACCTGGTGGCTGAGCTGACACTTTTGTTAGCAGTAGCAACAAGGCTGGAAGCAATTGCAAAGTAACCACCATCATCATTCTCATTCAATTCAATTGATGGCTCGGCTCTCAGAAAGAAAGAAGGAAAAAGCAATTTGAGAAAATAAATAATGAGGTGAACTCGCCCTGACCTTCCGTTCCGTGCACGGTGGCATTATTCCTTTTTGGCACGATCACAGGCATCAATGACTAGCTAGCTAGATGACGTTGGGAAAGATACGCTGTGCCCCCTTGCTCCAGTAGGATGTTCCCCGAAAATCCAAAGATCCACGGAGGTCCCAAGATATTTTTGGCACGATTGGCTTCAGTATCCGATTTGAGCGGAAAAGGGGTGAAAGGCAGAAATCTGATTGGTCGATGAGTTCGGAAGAACAACGAATACGTCAGGAAGTATTCAAATATACTTAACGTACCATTTATAGTTATTACAGAGCAAATGTGCTACCTAGCGGCCGTTTCTGTTTTCGCGAAACTCGAAACAGAGGATTCCTCCGTGCCATCGAAACAATGACATGCTGCCGTTCGCTTCAACTCGACAGTCATTATCTCGGCCAAAAAGCCAGTAGCAGCAGCAGCAATGAATCCACCAACAACAACAACAGCAGCTACCACTCACAATGGAGAAGAGATGGGCTGCCAAAGTCAACAGAGAAAACCCAGGCAGAAGAGAGCATTCCAACTCGCAAACAACAACAACCCAAGATCATCAAAGAGAGCGAGAGAAGAAGGACCGCAAACAACACTGGGAGGAGTGGTAGCAGAAGTCTTTGATCCACTCAAGAACTGTGTCATCTGTAAGGCCAGACATCGGTCTTCAGAGTCCCCAAGAGATCTCACTCTGTCTTCTGTATTAAGAATACAATAACAAAAGGACAAGGACCTTTGAATGCGCTGACAATGGAGACAATCAAGGAAAGCAGGAGACTCACCAGGCAATTCAGCGCTCCTCTTCCACTGAATGAGAGAGAAGCTGGAGCACTCACAAAGAGAATGGAGAGCTTCTTTGCCCTAGAACCAACACAGCCAAAGCCAAGCCACAGCAACTCAAAGCAAGAACAAGTAATGGCCACCCCAGCTGTGTTCTGCGAGAAAGTCACAGCTCTGGTTGAGGATTCCACCTTTGTGGAAAAGCACAAGAACAAAATAGCACACTGGCAATGATAGCAATGGCAGAAGCAGTGTCAGAATCAATTACAAGGTCAACATCAAAGAACCAGGAGCCATTCAACAACCTTCGAAGGACTCACCATGACATCCCATCCACAAAGGAGCAATTCGAGTCTCCTCACTACCACTCTATTGTGGGCAGAAACTCTTCTGTGGATGGAATCGATGTGGCATTACTGTAGCTTGTCCGGATGGAAGATGCTCTGGCAAACTCAAGAATGATAGAAGCAACTGGTCCCAGAACAAGACTCTGTTTCCAATCTTTGGCATTGCTGGAGCTCCATCTTGTGATTGTCATGTCAATGAAGTCTGTGACTGCTGCAAAGAGGTTTGATGCCAACCAGGCAGAGGTACTAGTGTCGGTCCCAGAGCATGTTTCCTTGCTGTATCCAGTTGAGTCCAAGTATGCTTTTGCCAAGAGTGACTATCACTTGGGAAGAACTGCAACAGAAACTTTTGATTCTATCATGGTTACCTATGGAAATGGGGACCTATGCAGTCGCCTTATCTACAATGCAATCAACAGAGAGTATATCAGGGCAATGATGTCCTACTATTCTTACTGGCAGGTAATGAGAGGGACCTCCTCCCTTCCTTCCAAAGGATGGACTTACATCAGGCAATACCCTCCTCTTGGTGAGACAATCCGTGACTTCTTTGCTGCATCCAACAGAAACCCATGGAGGATCAGTGACAATGCCAGGCACACAAGGGAGATCCAAAGTGTCAGCTGCAACAAGGGTATCTTCTGTCAGGACCACACTTTCCAACCAGTCAAGAACTACATGAAGAGAGAGGTTGGAGCAGTGCTGTTTGGGATGCTGCCACTGAAACTGGAGAGATAGCTTCTGCAGTGCTGTTCCCACAACCAAAACAATCCACTTCTCCCATGCAGCCAGCACTAGCAAGGAGAAGCACTTCAATCCAGTTGCCATGTACAGTGACACCTGCCCAACAAGGATGACTAAGGGAGACACTCTTTCCAGGTATTGAGGGAAGACTTGGCCTGTTCCATTATGAGAAGAGAATACTATCAACTTTGAGAAAGGGACATATTGACCACTTCGAAGCTTTGAATGCTCTCTTGGATTGCCTCTATGAGTACTTACTAGAAGACTTTGAGAAGGTTCTCTATGCTTTGAAACATGGCCTCTTGTCCTCCAATGGCAAGCACTACTCCATGGCAGAGATCTCGATATGCAAGCCTCCAAGTCTTCAGAGCTAGGTACTCCAAGTATCTTAGGAAGAAGATGAGAGAACCAGAGACCATGACAGAGGTTGCAGCAGTGGTTCTGCAGGTACAAGTGACAGCCAGTGATGGTAGCCAGCCAGGACAGGGCCGACTCGATCCAGTCAAGAACTTTACCTTTTACTTCTGAACCAAACCAGCAGTAGAGAACTGTGTTGACAAAGCCATTCACTTGGCTGATCCCCTGCACTGGAAGACATGTATGCACAATCCAACCTTCTCCAAACTCCAAGCACAATCTTCCAGAGTACCTATCAAGGAGAGGAGAGTCAAAGTTAGAGGCTTTCCATGACAAGTTTGCCCACTTTGGCAATGGTGGAATGAGAAGAAGCCTTGCTGATGCACTCAACCTTGCTGGCACTGCTAGATACAACCTCAAGATTCGCACAAGAGAGCCTTCCTGTCAAGAATCAGCGAGCAGAAAGGAAGTCAATTCCAGCTGGATGGAGAAGGTTGTTCCTTACTGGAACCATTCAGAGCTGGCTTACCTCAATGACATGGCAGAGGCTGTTGGTCTGGATGCACCATTTCCAAATGCAGAAACACTGCCAGAGGATAATGGAGAAAGATACTTTTCAGAGTACATTGTTGGATTCAAACCTCACAGGCAGAAGTACTCACCAAATGATTGTTGCTTGTGTAGATTGTGCACAGTCCAGTTGAAGCTTCACAACCACAACTGGTTCCACAACCACACCGGTTCCACAACCACAACCACAACCACAACCACAACCAACCGGTTCCACAGCTCCAACCTCCACCACCCATCCACCTCCACAAGCAGCTCCTCTGTAGCACAAAAAGAAATTCTTACATTGGTAACCTGATTCTCTATCAGCAACACACCAGATTCAAATGATGCACTTGCCTTAATGCAGCAGCAATTCCAACCAATACTGCCAGCTCCTTTCCAGCCACGTCCTCCACCAAATGGCTGCTGTCAGCGCTACTGCCAGTGGTTGACCAACAGGAGAGGAAGACCACCACATGACGCCTATTGCCGGTCTCAATATAGTAGATATGGTCAGCAGAATGGGTAGCATTGTTGCATCATTGTAATCTAGGTATTAACTTACATTTCAATTCCATCAATGAACATAGCAAGCTGGGGTCGCAGGCCTCCAGAAGACTCAATGTCATCAATGCACAAAGTCACAAACTCCTCATTCATCATACTGAAATCCTTGAAGGAAAGTTTGTCTTGGTACCACTGACTGTAATACCCATGCCACGCAGCCATCACTATGCCACATTCACCAGAGCCCAAATCAAACCGCTCTTGGACCCTTTCCTTCACCAACCAATACATGCACTCAATAAAGATGTCCTTCCTGTCACAAGGATCTGGTCCCTCCAGCATTTCATAAAGGGAGGAGACAACAGCATTGTACCATTTTTGACTCTTCTGAACCCCAGACTCAAACATGTAATCCATGATGCCTGTCATGTCAGGAGGAAGAGGCTTGCCTGCTCCTTGCAATAGGATCTCCTCAAGAATGGTTGCATCCATGGTTGTCGTGGGCAGACAGGTGTACTTCTCCTCTGTTATAGTAATATCATGCTCTTCCAAAATCACATACTTGCAGGTGAATCCATGCCTTGTTGCCCTCAGCTCATTGAATGGGTATCTGTTAACACTGAGGAGCCACTTGGAGAAGCCATGGCTAGTACTGATCCTCATTGTCGACTCGTTGTTGATACGATAGTGGTACGAGCTGTTGGATTATCGGTAGCAGATGGATCGATCGTCTTCCCCGACAACAGTAGCCGCATTGACGTATCGATCGCTCTTGTTCTTCTAATGGTAGCAGTAGGGCGTCTAACAGTAGCCGTAGCTAGCAGTTCGAAAGTCGTCTTCCCCTACAGAGTAGTGGTGACGTATGGCTCGAACGCTGTTGGCTACCGAAGCTTGCTGTTAACTTCTTGTTGGCTATCGAAGCTCGCTGCCTGTTGTTGGATAGAACGACGGCAGATACGAAGTCGAGAAACAATATATGTTAGATAACAGTAATGGTACTAGCAGATAGCGGCAACAACATCATTGTCGCCATTTTCTTACCTGTCGACAACAACAACAGATCGATATTTCGGCACCGATCCAAGTGTTCGGTGCAATTTTCGAAAAAATGGGATGGTTTGGTTGGAGCCAAGGATTGGGAAAGAGCAAGTCAGGGTGTCCGTTGATCTATTTTGAATTTGAGAAGCAAGACATCAACGAACCTCTCCCTCGACGTATTTGATGACGTAAAGTCTGTTCTTCGGACATGAATTATATAGAGGACGATGGGGGAATGACCTCGTTTCTGCATATCCCCTCATGTATGACCTTCTGGGCCACTTCAACGGTTGGTTGGCTGGCTCTCTGATTCGGAATCGGGAATCCAACTGATAACCCTCTCCCTTTCTTTTTTTCTTTCCCTCCCCCGCGCTGCTGCCTTACCCCCCCATAATCTCGATTTGACCGCTACCGGTAGAAAAGCCAAAAAGATCTACCAGCTAGTACATGTAGGACTGAGGGTCAGTGTAGAGCCTATCGGTAGCGGTGTCAGCGGTTACAGAAATGGGCGATGCGCCCAGCCAGCGACCATTCATTGACAGCGTTGGTCTCGCCTTTGATCTCGTCGGCGGTCGATCGGCTCTTGTTGTGTGGGGAGCCGAATTGTGCGACGTCTCCGAGGCGTGGATTCTTGCGCAGCTCTTAGCTTTCTTGCACTATAGTACTATAGTAGGTCTTTGAAATATTACTGTTGGAAGGCTTCGTTGGTGGCAGCAAGCCGTATGCTCTTTGTCGACGTTGTTCAATCCGACCATCGAGGCTAGTTTGAACAACGCTTGCTTCCGTGATATTCGATTCGATTCATTCGCTATTTAGACTTTTAAAATACATGTTGACAAGTGCAGTTGCAGCTGCAGGTCACCAAATTGCAGTCAACGCTCAGGTCGGAAAGGCTGCTATTCTTCTTCAACAAGCACACTTCTTCAGGGATGCTTCCAGTCAAGTTCGAGCCATGCAAAGTAAGCGATCTCAAAGATGATAACAGACCAAGTTCAGAGGGAATTTGGCCAGCCAACGATGTGTTGTGCAAGTGTAGCGATACAAGTCTGGAAGAAACAACGAAATCAAGCAAACAATGAATTAGCGAATTAGCAGCAAGCAAGCAACATGCGACCAACGAAAACACACCACTGACCTGCTACAGTTGGATACTTCAAGAGGAATACTCCCAGTCAGCAACACATTATTGTCGAGATGAAGCTTGCGCAACAAAGGAAGAAGCCCCACTTCTGTGCCAATGGTTTCTGAGAAGGCATTCCCATCAAACTCGAGATTCCGCAAAAAAGTTGTATTTTGAAAGCTGCCAAAAGGGATGGTGCCAGAGAAAGAATTGTGGCTCAGATACAGCCAAGATAAATCCACAAAACGTGTCAACTGCGATAGAGATTGATCCTTGTAGCCCATAATTGTTGGACAGATCGAGCGATCGAAGACTGGAAAGTGACCAGATATTGGTGGGGAGGCTACCAGAAAGACGATTGTCGTGAAGCCGCAAGGATGTAAGGCTGCTGGGCCATTTTGGGCTGATGAAGGTTGGTGTGATTGTCCCCGTCAAATTATTGTTCTCAAGCATCAGCCTGGTCAATTGAGACAGCTGATTCAGTGCTGGTAGGTTCCCGGTCAAGCCACTGTACCATAAGTCAAGTGAGCGTAGCTTGGACAGATGGCCCAATTCTGTAGGAATGGATCCAGAGAGTTGAGTGTCACTGGCAGACAGACTTGTGAGGCTGGTTAGTTGAGCCACCAGTGAGGAAATTGTCCCACTCAACCTTGTCCTCGACACATGCAAGTCTTCAAGATGAGTGAGCTCATAAAGGTGAGTTGGCAGAGTTCCATTGAGTTCATCATTGTTTCCAAGGGAAAGCTGTTTGAGTTCGGAAAGACTTCCCAGCTCGGTTGGAATTGTTCCTGAAAGTCTTGGCAAAGAAGCAATTTTCAATTTCCTTAGACTTGTCAAACTTGCCAGTTCACTAGGAATGGTCCCATAAAGATCGTCTGATGCGGTGATGGCTAGCTCTTCAAGTGTACGAATTGGTAGGTTCTGAAGAAATGTAGTTGACAGAGGACCAGTGAAATTGCAACTGTTAAATGACAAGGTTTTGAGGTTGGTGAGCTGTCGCAGCGCTGGTATTATACCAGATTCAAGTGGACCATTGATACCCATTGATCCCATGCTGATTTCCTCCAAATCGGTCAATAATGCAACCTCCGGTGGCATTGGAGCATGCTTGGATCCCACCATGGAAAAGGACGGGATAGACAGACTCAATCTTGTGAATGCTCCCCTCTCGTTGCACGAGCTTTCGTTTGTATCTCGGCGTCTCATGATGAGTTGCCGATCCCCTGTTGCATACATAATAAATGTGAGACTCGCAAAGATGTCAGAATACCAGTCACATTCCAATTTGTGATAGACGAGCCAGTCATCTTGTAGAATATGGGGCCATTCTTCACCGTGAAAGCTGTAGTAGAAGGTTGCCAAAGCAAACAGCTGCAGTCTTCGCCAATCAGATATATTAAAAAGACTTGGGTATTCCTGTAACCAGATGAAAGCTTTGTTTTGTGGTGACAATGGTTGTTCAATAGCAAGAATGGTAGTGGTCGGAAGCAGACCTTCTATAATGGCTGTTGGTGCTGTTGTAGGGGCATCCGTTGGAGCCTTAGAAGGAGATGAGGTGGGCACAGCAAAATGTGCAGGGGGGACTTGAGTTACCTTGTCGTTCTTTGCTGCCACAAAAGCGGGGATCACAGCAGCTAGGATGATAGAAAGAAGGAATAGGGAAAGGATGAAATAGCCAAGCATTTTCTTCTTGCCCTGCTTTCTTCTCAAGTCCTGAGCTGCTGTATCAACAGGCCTAGCACCTTGTAGGTCGTTGTCGCTGTCGTCACTGACAGGTATGGCCTCTGATAGCCCCACGTGATTGGTATGGTTGGATGTGTTTGCCGCTGATTCTGTTTGGATCCCCAGATTTGAGAATTGCGCACGAGGAAGCGGTTGATTTTGGCCGCTGGTTTGACCTGGCATAGCAGCAAAGGCACCAGGAACAGACTGCACAAGTCTGTTTCTATGCAGCGTAGTGGCCGGCATGTCCTCAGGGATATCTCCACGGCTACCCGTACTATTAATATGCTCGTTAATTTCTTGGGACAGTGCGGCCGGAGCCGTTTCATTCGATAAAGGCCCTTTTTGTCCCTGTAACGTTTTTGCATTGGTCTGTTTGTGGCTTCCAGAATTACTAGTACATGTAGTACCATCTCTTTCAACAATGACAGGTATTTGACCTTTTGCCACCAACACGTCTAGCAGTTGATGGTCGGAAGAAGTTCCCAATTCATCTTCTATTAATGAGCTATCGTTGGAGTTGTGGGTCCCAAACGAACTTCCGTGGTCGTTTCTCTTATCGCCATTGGGATTATCTTGCTCGCATCTGTTGTCGGATACATGTGTGCTATCTTGCATCATCATGTACTATAGTATATGAAGGAAACTGAATTGGCAAGTAGAAACTGAATTGGCTGGGATCATCGATCATGGGATCATGGGTGGTCTATATTCGATTCGATTCGATTCGATTCGATTCGCTGCCTCGATCGGCACTCGCACGTGCCAGAAATGTATCGAATGACCATGACTTTCCTTTCTTCAGAAAGGGACTATGTAATTTCATTTTCATTTTATTAAAACGTTCAAGATGAGACTCACTCGAATTTGTCATGGACTTCCGCAGCCTGAGAATTGCTAGCGGTAGATTGTTTCATGTAGATTGTTTCATTGGTCGCCTCGAGATCATTGGCGATATCTCCTTATTGCCAACAATTGCTTACACTGCTACACTAGTTCTTCTCTTCCCTAACTAAAGGGAAAGCACCAGTGAAAGAGTTGCGCTGGGACTCGAGGGATGCTGATAGCCCCGCAGAGGATCCGTTGATCGATCAAATATCAAATTCGTGCGATCATGGTTCAAGTAATGCTGCCACAAGCGGCGGGCTTCATATTTGGCTATCCGTAACTCCGCAACACTAATTGTGCGCATTAGACTACCCTGCTTCCGTGAATAAGATTCAAGTTTCGGTGCCGAGGGTAACCCGAGCTTCATGGTTATCTGGTTATATGTACTGGTACGTAAATAAGTATAGCTTCTTCTGCTTTCGGGCTCACTGCTGTGACGGTGAAAGACCCCGAAAAGCAAGTCCAACATCAACCCAGGTCGCAACCAAAACCCAAGAACAATTTGCACTCTTCGATGCTTCATTCATTCACCACTCAAAACAGGCAGTGGCAACCAGAGTATCATGCATGCTGGGCTGGACTCGACACGGTGCTTCCACCATACGGTAGGAGGATGACTACAAATTGGCTTCAGGAGCAGTTCCATCAAACTCTGCAGTCTCACCACCGCCACCACAGACTTCCAGAGAAGAAGCAGGAATCGTCTCATTCTCGGAACCAGAGCTCTTGAGAAGCATCTCTTCTTCATCAGCTTCGCCTACCATTCTTTCTGGAATGAGGTCCATTGCTTCACCAAGAATAGCTTGGAGGTTTGCCATTGTATCTTGCTGCATTCCTTGTGGAGCTTGTCTTTCAGCTGCAGCCGCATGGACTCGGAACAATACGTTGGGGTTCCTTGCCAGTCGTAGGGTCCTTGAAGCCGGAGGACGTCGGGCCTCACGGGCGATTAAAGTCAATGGGACTGCCTGGTTGTTGCCCATGGGCAACCAAGCTCTGTTGTTTCCTCTACCAAAGTTCATTGTGTGTGTGTTCTTTTATTTCTGCCTTTTTGATTTTGCTTGTCGATGAAATTGTGAGAAGCCCTGGTTATCCGTGGTGCTAGAAAATGAACTTTATGAGAAAAGATCTGGCAGTGAGAATCAGGCGAGAAGCAAAAATCACGTACTGTACTGTAGCATTATCACGTAGCAGCTTACCGGTCTACACAAACGTGGTTCTTTTCTTGGCTTTGCTGTAGATGACTGAGTCACCGGACCTGTATTCTGTTGTTCAACTGGAGTGTTAACAGAACTAACTGTGATCCCAGGTACGTTTCTACAGCTGTTTCTACTATTTAGCTAGGCATGTAGTGTATTTATTGCTATTTCAGCTGCTACTTCTATGAGAACCGCTTGAAGTTAGTGATATTTTCTGAGGCAATAGTTCTCAAAGTATGCCGAAATGCGGCTTTCCTTCGATTTTTCCAGATGGCAGCTTTGGATTTGCTGTACTGTAGATAGCCCAACAGGGTGTACCGGTACGTTTAGGATTTTAGGATGAAAGTTGCCAGAACAACCAATCGAGCACCGTACCAGTATCTTTGCTCAGTCCTGTGATGCTTGACCTGTGCGCTGTTTTGGATTCGATTCCTTCGCTCTTTTGTGCTTTGAACAGTAGCTAGATAGCTACCAGCAGCCATCCAACTTGACGCAGAAGGTCCTATCGATTGGTAATGCTATCGCAGTGGTCTTGGTTTGATTGGTTTGGCCATATCAGGAGCGTTCCTCAATCGTGCATAAACCGACCCTAAAATAGGGTCGGATTTAGGGTCGGGTTCCCTTTAGGGTCGGGTTTCGAAACCGACCCTAAAAATAGGGACGTTTTCTGAAAAATAGGGACGGTTTCTGAAAAAACGTCCCTAATTTAGGGTCGGGTTTCGTTTTAGGGTCGGGTTTGAAAAACGTCCCTAAATAGAAACGGGACTGCCTGGTAAATACATTGAAAACGCACCAATATTAGGGTCGGGTTTCGAAACCGACCCTAAAAATAGGGACGGTTTCTGAAAAATAGGGACGGTTTCTGAAAAAACGTCCCTAATTTAGGGTCGGGTTTCGTTTTAGGGTCGGATTTAAAGTCATGCACGATTGAGGAACGCTCCAGGTTACCAAGAAGCTGATTGGTAAAATCGACAACGGTCGAATTACAGCTCACTCGGCTTTTTAAGCCAACATGGCCCTTCCACACAATCGAGTGAACCTGGTTTTAGCTCCAGAATTCTTATCGTGGATTATGTGCTGCTACTAGTATAGCTAGCTAGCTAGGTCTAGTGCCGACTTGTCACTATGACGTGCAAAGATCAGCCATGGTTTAAGGGAACATGGGAAAACTATGGGAAGGATTCGTTGGATCAGGTAAGTACACAGGCTGAAATCTATAGGCCACAGCACCACTTGTAAAACCACTGCCTTTGATGCACGTTGCTCTTCAAGTCCTGTCAAAGTAAATGCCCCGAATCTTGGTAGCATCCTCCTCCTTGGGATCCGTGCACGTTGGTTTATCCTTGCTCAGCGCGACAGCTCCGTGCGATCCACCAGTCATGCTGTCCGAAGTCATTGCCGGGGTTTGTGGGCTGGTTACACAAGTGGCAATGCAACCCATATTAGATCCTAGGGTCTCTTCTGTGCACCATGGAACGTTGCTGTTGGTACCTCTGTTCAACGGATTATTGTGGAACCAATAGGCACAGTACTTTGCTGTCTTGGCTTCTTGTATACTGTTATTTCCAACTTTGTGTCGAAAGCCCGGGGGTCGGGTTGCTGGATTCAACGAGGTCACAGAGCATCGAACATCAACAGTCACGGTAGCTAAGTCAGGCCAGATTTGGTGTACCACACGGAAAGCACTACTGTGGCGGTCTACTAACTTGCTCCCTATTACTCTTGCTGTATTGTGTATTGTATTACATCCTATTGAACCTACAATTTCGGCTGAAGCAGCGCAAGTCATCATTCACATGTCGCCTAGTCCTGAAATTCGCCTTTCTTTTCCCAAGCCTGACCCTCTATCGGCTTCCGTAGACAACCACCCTACTCTTGGAGAGCTAGCCCCCCTCAATGCATTCATTCATCGAATACGGCAAGAACAAGGGATCATACTTCATGCTGGTTTGACGCTGACTGACACCTACAAACGACCCGAGGAAAAGGTGTTGCTATGAGCCTCCACGTCATCATCGCCGTTACTAGAGGCAACGGCAAGAGAGACCTTCGTCTCATTCTCGGCACCAACCTCCCGCTGGTCCCCTTCATCCAGCACAAGTTCCTCAACAATGTTCAATGCTTCCGCAATAAGATCTTGAAGGGCTGCCTGTTGCATGCTTGGAGGAACCCGCCCTTGTCTGGGAGGAGCCCCACGCAGGAGTGAGAGCAAGGGGACAGCCTGGTTGTTGCCCATGGGCATCCAAGTTGTGCTTTGTCCTCTTGAGTCCATTCTGGTTGGTATTCCCACACTCTTTCTTTGCTTTTGTGGAATGCCCTTTGCAGCTCTATTCTCTTCGGCCTACAACTATGGCAGTTTTCTGGAGAGTTCGATAATTTTCCACCCCACTTAATATTTTTCTAGAGCGTTCGAAGAGAATCTGGTACTACATGTACGGTAGTCTAGCTTGACCTCGGCAGTCTATCTGCCTGAGCCCTCTACCCCTTTAATGGCAAAAATTCTGTCTGTGGGATCCCCTTGTTTTGTGTCTGTGGGATCCCCCTCGTTTTGGTGAAGCCAAGGTATAGGGTCAAGATTACATCGTTGCCCTTACCACTTGCGGCAGCGCCACAGCCATTGATCGAACTTGCCACTTGCCGCAGCGCCGCAGCCATTGATGGAACTTGCCACTTGCCGCATCGATCCATCGAACCAACAGCCATCGATCTCGACAATAGCCATCAACCGCAGCATAGTAGCTCAACAAGCCCAGCCAGCTATTGTACAGCCACCAGCCATCCGGAGACAAGGACCATTCGTCAAGGCACCAACCGGGGTGACAAGTAACCATGCCTGTCAAGTACGGAACACCTGCTTACCGCAGGAAGATTGAAGCAATCGGCGATCCAAACAGAAAAAGCAGGCACAACAAACAGACGAGGAATGGCAGGCTCAGTTGAAAGTCAAAAGAGAATTCATGCAGAAGCATCGAGAACAACAATCTATAGAAGAATATGAGATTGCCAAAATAAAGGATCGAGGGAGGAAACGGATCCGCCGCTTAAAGAATGAATTCTTCGATGCTGAAGCACACAATTTCAACGAAAACCAGCTCTGGATTGATCGAGCTTTGGAAATAAACAAGATAAAGGCTCAGCTGAAGATGGAGCGACAGAAGCTGCAGAAGCTACGTGGTGTTGAAGACCCAGAAAACTCTTTAGATAGAGGATGGCTGAAAGCTCAGCTTGCAGAACTCCAGAACAAAAAAGAAAGAACACAAATCTTAGAGCATGATTGGGACGAAAGGGTAAAGAAACTCTTTGGCAAGGATCCGGGTTTCTTCCAAGTAGAGATCAGCATATTTAACATACGCATGATAGAAAGAAGATTGCGAAGAGAGGAAAGATAGTGCAACGAATCATGATCTACAACTTGAGCGGGTTAAAAATCACTCGACAAAGCACGTTGTGCCGCCATACTCTAAGGTGGCGGAGAAATGTATTGCCAGGGATTCTAGAGAAATATGGCTAAATGAAATGCTTAAGGTATGTGTTATTTGGATGTATTAGCAAGTGGTTTACCTAACAATCCTCGAGATTCTCCTCTTTGTATTCCAATCGTGGGTTTGCTCTATATATTATAGATCAGCCGCAAGTTGCTTGCAGGAGGGTGGTTGTCCTTCTTCTATCTGTCTTTCTGCCGAGGTATCGCAGCTCCCGCTGTTATTTGGTTGACTCCGAACTGTACCTTTTAGGAAAGAAGTTTAAAAGTGCGGAAGCCAAAACAATAGACTCTAATGCTTGCGGAAGTTCGGTTTGGATCCCCCCCGGGGGGTGCCTCAAACCAACTCCATTTAACTTATTAAATCCCCAACCACCGGAAATGAAGCTCTAGTTTGATCGCTAAAAGCAATCAACGATGTTGAAAAAGGTGCCACAATTGGATAACCAGGCGGTTGCGAGCGGTTGAGAGTGGTCGAGAGCGGTCGCGTGGTTGAAAGCGGTAATAAAGCGGTAAAAAAGGCGGTATAATGAGCGGTTGAGGTCGTTCAAGGGCGGTAGAAGGCGGTTGAAGGTGGCAAAACATGGTTGAAAGTGATTAAAGTGAAAAAGAGGCTAAATGGGTCCAGCCCAAAATATACTTAGGAAGGTGGGATAAGATACTGGGAGCCATACAGAGTTGGTTTGAGGCACCCCCCGGAAGTACTAGTGTACCCATGGCAATCCAAAAAGTTCGGTACCATAACGGAGACCGTTCGACAGTCACTCGATGTCATTCGATTGTTGGAGCGCAGTTGCCAGCAGAGCCGCTTCTGCACTTCTTTGGCTGTCAGAAGGTAACTTAATGTCGTGAAAGCAATTGTGCTGCTTGTGGGTTTCTCGCGGCATCTGTACCAGAGTTTTTGGCTAGCTAGCACTTTGTGGAAATCCAGTGCGGTCTAGCAGTTGCGACCATTGAAGTGCTGTAACCAACAGTTTTGGTGTCTACAGTTCTGATGTAAGCGTTTGTAGACACTGGGCCAGCAGATGTGGGAAAACCAGTGCTGGGCCCAATGGTTGTGAGAAATCCAGTGCTGGGTTGTGAAGGCATCGAGTGCGTGCTGGGGCGAGGGATTGCATTGCTAGTAGGGACACCACTTTGTTGGAAATCCAGTGCCGGGGCCAGGAGTTGTGATACCTCCAGCTAGTGTAGACCTTCGGGAGCGAACACTTTAGATATAGTAGTGCCAACAAGCAAGAATCGAAAAAACAAGGCTAACGGTTTTGAGGCTAGAAAGACATTTATGCAATTGCTCTTGCGGTCGTTGTACCAAGGCAGCAAACAGACTGTTACCATCGCCAGCAACATGCGGATGGACAAACGCTGAGCGCGATTGCATCCACAATACCTAGCCGAGCAACTTCCCCCCCCCCAAATTAAATTGGTTTGAGGTGGCTTTGGTTGTGACGTCATAGTACCGGTACAGCTGCCGCACAATGGACATTGATACCGTGCCCATTAATTCTCTGAGTGACTATGTCCAATCAAGCGCAGCTTCCACGCTTCCACACATTCACACAACATCTATCTGAAATGCATGAAACCATCATCGTAAACGATAATCTGTGTTGCCTTTCAATAGAGAGACTTGCGCTACGGGTGTTGGTTGGTTTGGTTTGCGTCAACTAGTCCAGGACATGTACTCACGAGTAGTTGGGTGGTACCTTGGTGCACGCGAAAGACTAGATTCGGTTTCTTAAGTCTAGCATGGTTCGTGCAATACATGTAATTGGAGGTCTATAGTCAGGTATTTTAATTGGAGTAATAGCTAGTCTTCTTTTCTTCTGTTAATGGTCATTGGAGCATGGCCATCATTTTTGCCCCAGAGACATTGCTGCCTTGCCTTGGTGGACTCGACTGAGTCACTCATTGACATGGCCTTCTTGACGCTTTGTCGCCGCTTTGGTTGTTTTGGCAACTGAAGATGGGACCGGAGATGGAGAAGTCAGATGAGTCATCGTCTTGGAAATCATCAAACAAGTCCTCATCATCTAGCAAATCAAGTGCATCTTGAAGAACTGTCTGGAGCCTTGAACGTGCCTCTGCACCACTCACTAGGCTTGCTGGTGCTGGATTGCTTGGGACCTGCAAAGTCAGAGGGGAGTGTGGAAGCAGCATGTTGGCGGGTGATCTGCTTGTAATGGACCGGGTATTTTTGGATGGGGAGAAGGAAGAGTTTGTCATGGTCTGCTTTGTAAAGATAGTAAAGAGAGATGATGTGAAGTAGCTTGTGAAGTGAGGTTGAAACTTGAAATTGTGAGAGAAGCAAGAGGGTGCAAATCGGAAAACCCGAAGACTTCCGAGATTGACTTTTACTAATTTTAATTAAAAGATCTTTGGTGGACACATGCGTGCTGGCATAGCAGAATAGCAGCACCACGTCAGTCAGAAAAACGAATTCCAGCAACGAAGGAAATGGAACTGGGGACTCCTGACTAAGTAGGCCTACTTCGCCCGACTACTAGCTAGCTCGTACTGCAAGTACTCTACTAATAATAATATTATGACATAATACGACAGTACGATTGCTCCAAGCTGATCCTCAGAGATCCTTGGTGCTTGGTGCCTTGGTTGGTATTTACTGCAGTAAATCCGGTTACTGGCTCCTTACTGTCAATTACTGCCATTGTTGGCCACCTAATTACTGCAGTAGTAATCCCATGCAGTAGTAATCTGCCTTTGCAACAGTAATATCCAGTAAATGACAGTAAAGCACAGTAATTAGCCTTATTACTGCATTACTGTAGTTTACTGCCTTCAATTGGCTTTAAATTACTGTGCATAATTACTGCTACTGAGAATTACTGCATTCTGCCATTACTGCTCCTTTTACTGACTCATGGCAGTAAGGAATAAACAGTAATACCAACCAAGCTTGGTGCTTGGTGAATTTGGTGTTTCGATTGAGCTCGATCGATGAACGATGAAGACAAGTTGCACAAGTAAGTAACTTTAATTAAAACCATTACTCGAGTATACTAGTACATAGTGAGCACACGGAATGCTCCCGGACATTACCCCTCCTTGAGAACAATGACTGTGGACCGGATCCTGTGGCTTCTTGGTGGCTTTTTTACTTTTTTGGACCTTGGAGCCTCGTAGCGTGTCGCAGACGTCTCTTCTGCTTGCTGTATCACTGGAAGGATACCGGTATGTACAGCCAAGCTTGGTGGGTAATTACTCCAGTAATTCCTGGTTACTGGTTACTTACTGTATTTTCTCTGCCTTTATTGGCAGTAGTTACTGCAGTCAGTAATTCCTGGCAGTAATAAATCTGCCAATTCAATAGTAATTGACAGTAAATGACAGTAAAAGACAGTAATCACCCTTTTTACTGCAATTACTGTATTTACTGCCTTCAAATGGCTTTAAATTACTGTACCTGATTACTGCTACTGAGGAATTACTGCATTACTGCATTACTGCTACTGTTTGGCCCTCCAGTCAGTAATCAGTAAAAGTAAATACCAACCAAGCAGCCAAGTGCCATCAAAGCGGCAGATATGTGCAAAATCCAACCGTCCAACCGCTTACAAACGTTGTTGCTGACAATGCAAAGGAAGTTGCATCGCAGGTAGCTGGTCCTAGCTAGTTTTCTTTACTTTACAGAGAAAGGAATGTAAAGTTGGCAGCATTCGAGCAAAGAAACAAAGTGGCTGCTCCGTGTACTGGGTTCTTTGCCGGCACTGAATTTTTCACTGGCAGCCAAAACTGCCTTGATCCAAGCACGTGCGTGTCTTTGAATCATACTG